ATATCATATCTTTAGATCTGATAATCTTATAACTTCACAGGACATGTTCATTATATGCTATTTTAAAATACATTTTGATAAAAAATTAGCATAAAAAATTCTTTTGTCTCTAAATGAGAAGCCCAACTTTACTTCTCACTCTGACTTAAAACAAGTTTCCTAAATTCACTGTACTTCACTTTCCTTATCTATAAAGCTAAGTGGTTAGGACAGATCAGTGGTTCTGAACCCTGGCTATACACTAGAAGCATCTGGAGAGCATTAAAACATAAAGTAATAATGCTCAGGACCCACCTCAGGGTTTCATCTATAAATCTCTCCAGATAATTTTAATGTACAGCAAATGTTGAAAACCAATGCACTAGATGATCATTAAGGTTACTTCCAGCAAAACTTTCTAATTTTATGATTCATTGTGTTTTTTTTTTAAGAGAGAGAGAGAGAAAATTGAGAGAGTTTTTTAATATTTATATTTTAGTTTTCAGCGGACACAACATCTTTGTTTGTATGTGGTGCTGAGGATCCAACTCAGGCCGTTCACATGCCAGAAGCCACGTCCCCAGCCCGATTCATTGTGCTTTGACATACTAACATTTGCTAGAGATAACAGTGTTCTCAGTATTTGCATTATCCTATAGAGATGGCTCTCAAAGACTGTTTCTACTCAAAATCAGGAACATATTTTTCATGTACTACAGAAATTTCTGTATTACAATTTTTACTAAGAACCAAGTATGCATTATTATTGGGGTGTAATATGTGCTTTAAAAATAATATAGATTTACTCAATTCCCAGAATTAATTATTGCTATGATTATAAGGCAATTTCTTTTAGTACACATGCAATGTGAAGACAGTGTAGTTAGAAATTGCATATGAAAATCTTTTAAAATTGCTGTTGTAGCTATTTTGATTTTGAATAAATTAATTTTAAATATATCAAGAGTTAATGAACTTCCTAAAGTATATAACTTGTTCAGAATAAATAACTTTCATGCTTATTTATTATTAAGCAGAATGGATAGCTTTATAAAAGAATGGTTGAGGTGGAATATCCACTTGAGTTGATATTTCAAAAGATTATAGTTGTGACTTCTTGAAATAGTTTTGAAATGGGTTACTGTATCTTTTTGCTATCAGTTTTTTTTTTTTTTTTTTTTTTTTTTTTTTTTTTTTTTTTTTTTTTTTACTAAACAGCTTTTATTGGAGTAAGCAGATAATTTTCCCTTTAATTTTTTTCTTTTTATTTTAAGAACTAAGGAATATGAGTAAATTATATTATTTAAAACTACATAAAATAAAAACTCAAACAAATATTCAGATCCAGAAAGAAACACTTAGACTCCTACAAAATTAGGAAGAGGCCTCAAATAAATCATAAGCTATAAAGTAAGAGATGTTTTGTCCTGTATTTTAATAGAATATTGTGTTTGTGATATATACTTTTAGAAGCTTGGGACAAGAAGACTCCTTCCTCCTTTTAGCCAGCCTAATAATAGGAAGAAGGAGAAAATGTACAGATGACAGCTAACAGCTAACATTGGTGAATGTAGGTGTTACCAACAAAGACAGTGCTGGTTGTATGAAATTTCTGCAACATAACTATGTTTCAAACTATTTGAAAAAAATTACATAAAACATAAAAAAAAGAAACTATGGAAAGGATCTATGTGATTTTGTGTGTGTGTGTGTGTGTGTGTATCATCATTTTGTGTGTTACATCAGTGTGTTACTATCATTATATCTTTAATTTTCATACATACTTCACTGTATCTGTTTGCCTTCCTGATGACAAGCTAGACTTGATAACTAAGAATAGTTCACATATATATTATTTATTATACCATGCAAAACTCCAACATTGGAAGAATAATGTGACCACTTTAATAATCCACGTTTAAAAACCTTTCTCTGTGCAGAATAAGGAAGTTGCTTTGTCTCATATTAGCTCTACCACATTTGAGTTTGCTTCATAATATCTCCCTGAAATCAATCAGCCATGCTCACCATGCTCTCAAAGAATTTTGTACAGTAGGAATAAGCTATGAAAAGTTTGAAAATATAGGCAATGCACACAATAGGGTTTGTAATAACAGTTACATGTATACTAGTAATTAAAAACTAATTTATAAGTGTTATGTGATCTTAACATATCAAGAGATTTTATGAAACAATATAAATATTACCATAGAATGGTATCACACTTCTTAGTACCCAAATCAAGAGTAACCCAGTGCAGAGTTTAGTAGTTATCCCTCTCACCTTTTGAGAACTTCTCTCCTGCTACCTTGTTTCAAATTCTGGTGTTATCCTATCAGACATATTATTTTGTGTTACATATCTTCTTTTTTTTTTTTTTTTTTTTAAAGAGAGAGTGAGAGAGGGGGACAGAGAGAGAGAGAGTTTTAACACAACATCTTTGTTGGTATGTGGTGCTGGTGAAGATCGAACCCAGGCCGCACGCATGCTAGGCGAGCGCGCTACCGCTTGAGCCACATCCCCAGCCCCTACATATCTTCTTTTAAACTAAGAGAAATATGTTAAGCTGTATGTAGTATCTCAAACCTTATTATACATTAGTTTAATCAGATAAAGTCAGTAAAAGGATAATAGTTTTGAAGAAAGGTAAGGACAGAGATGATATAGCCTTGGGAAGGTACATATGAAAAGGGGCCCTATCAGATTAGAAGTATTTCATATTGAGGTAGGGACTGCTGGGAACAGTGAAGGACTAAAGCATAGAGAACAGAGTTATTTACTTCCCAATTTTGCCTGGGGCTGGGCCAGGTCAGCAATGCAATCACTGTACTGAGTAAAGCAAATTGACCCAGTTTTCTAAAGATGTCATGTAAAATTTGCATTATCTTCAGAGTCTAGTAACATTATATTGAATATAGACTTTATATCTGACAGCCAAAGTGTAGTGATGCTAATATCATCTTGAGTAATGAACTCTCATTAAATGAATGTAAATTTGTAAGGTTGTCTCATATGAAGTCTTATTTACAGTAAAGTTCTTCCTTGTTAAAATATTCAATTAGTTTATTGGGCATAACCACATAATGTGAAAAACTTTAGTACTGGACTCCATCTTGAAAGCAGAGATACTGCATTAAAGTAAAACTGCCATCCAGAATGAATAATGCAGATGCTGTGTTTTAAAACATGTCAGATTCTCTTAAGTATATCTTCCTTCTTTAAACTTTGATCAGCTGAGATAGATGTTTTTCATTTGGCCTTAACTGTTTACTACAAGAAGATAAGAGACAGACAACTAATGAAATAAATTGATATTCTGCTATGATAAGATAGAATGTAAACTTAATATTATTTTTGCAGTTGAAAGTATAACTGATTTTGTTTTGAAAATTTGGCAGCATTGTATGATATCATAAAAAAAAGAGAGACAACATTTCAAATTGACTAATACTCTGAGGTATTTGGGTGAAGTTGGATATAATTTTCATCTAACTTCCTCAAATACAATGTATTCTTTCTTAAAAGGAGTTATAATTAAGAGTGTATTGAGTCATAAATTTTAATGATAGCAAATCATGAATATTAAAAAGAATTGCTTATAGATACCAAAAATGGATAAGTGTGAATTATATTCTGTAACTCAAGTTGGAAGTCCAACTGTCACAGAGAAACTTCTCATTGAGTCTCTCTGAAATAGACTGCATGCATATTTAACCCAGTAGCTTTAGGCATTCAAAGATATAGAAGGCAAAATCAAAAGTATCACCTCAAAATTAACACCAAGCCGTGTGTTTTTCTATCCAAGTTTTACAGTCATTTTTTGCAGTCATTTTAAACACAGATAGTAACTTGGCTTAAAATTTAAACACACTCATGCATACAGGTTTGTTAGCTGGAGAGTTTCCTTGCCTGGGGGAGGGGAGGTGACAATTGGTGCATTCAACATAGAACACGTGTAATGATAATAAAGTTGATTGGTTGAGCTCTATAGCTTTTTTTTTTTTCCCTTCCTCTTCTTTTCTCTCTTCCTATAGAGTAGTTCAGGTGGGGGTGGAAGGGTTCCCTCCCATCCCCCCAGCCCCTGCTAAGAAGAGTAGGTTGATACCATTTTTATTGTTCTGCTGGGGTGGGAAATAAACCATATGCTTTAGCACTTTGAATGGCTACACCAAAGAGAAAATTGAGCCAGGCCTTCTTTCCCCCTCCTACTGGACTTTGGGGTGGGTTTGTTCTTCTAAATGTTTTAGCAGACTTGGGGTTAGCTTAATCCTTCTGCCCCAGGGCAAAGAGGCAGTTGAGGGGGGGTGGGAATGTCAAGGGCTTCAGAGGAGCGCTGAGCTGAGTGAAGTGTGTAGTGGAAGCTTATATCTGAAACCCACCCCTCCCCTGGAAACCCGGCAAAGGCAATGAGAGTTGGAACCAGCTGATGCCGCTGCTGCTGCTTCCCGTTTCCAGGGTGAAATTTTCACAGCAGCTAATTCTAAAGGGAGGAAAAATCCCTAACCAGCAGCGAAGAAGATCCTATCACCCAACCCAAGCAATGTAACCTTTTAGGCAGGCTTTCAGAGAAATCCGCATTTTAAAAGCCAGCATTCATGGTCCAAACTATGGGCCGGGAATCAGAGCTGGTATGAAAATATGAAAAGCCTCTTTACACCCTGAGTGTTTGAAACGATCCGATGAGCATAGGAAGTGGCTGCCAACGCTCTGGCGGCTGCTCTAGCTGCCGTCGCCGCCGCCGCCGTTCCTCGCAGAGGGCTGGACAGAGCTAGTCCCGGTTTCAGCACCTCCGGCGCTGGACAGCTCTCTGCACACCGCACCGCTGCCTGCCTGCTTTTTCCCACTCTTGCTTTGCATAACTGGAGATGCATCTAAATTACGTCCTGTTCAACAACAAGTAGATTTTTTTTTTCCTGTACGAGAATTACAGTAGACGACTCTCTCAATTAAACTGCATTTTCTTCTTTACGGATTTGGCTGTCAGGCGTATTTATCCCGATCTCCCCCCACCCCCTTTGCAGGAACGAGTCTTTGGGAACGTGGTCCACCCAGGGATGTAAAACTGTGCTTACCGATGCATCCCATACGAAATGCTTATGTGATCGTCTCTCTACCTTCGCCATTTTGGCTCAGCAACCTAGAGAAATAGTAAGTAACAAAGGGAAAACACGGCTTTAATGCAAAGGCAGGGACATTGTGGCTAGTGTTTCTCCAGGGAACTGCATTTTAAATGGGGAAATGGAAAAGGTTGCAGGGTGGCAAAATTGGGTTCTTCTCCTCCTTAGCTACAGAAGCTTGGTGTAATGAATTCTAGTTGGTGTGCTATAACTAAATTCTACTCAATTTTATGTCTTCTAACTTGAAATTTCTGCAGTATAGTTTTAAGGATATGCTCCTATGGTATTACTAATATGTTGCAAACTTTCAAATAAAAATGATTGCCAATATAACATTTATTTTAAAACTGGAAAGCTATTCTGGAGAATTTGTGAGAATACTGTTAGTAGTAGAATGAAGACCCCAGACACTATAGCTAAACACATTGCATATCTGCATTGGATATTTTCAATACAGGTTTCTGAGAGTGTCCTTGGAGATATATATATATATATATATATATATATATATATATATATATATA